ATAACTGTCTGTGGTTGATTAAATAGCCTTTCCTATCACTGCAAACTTTAAATCCAGCCAGGGATCTATCCTTCAGATACCTGACATCTTGGGATATTTAGTAAGAAAGCATAATCCCCATCCATAATGTTCTAAAAATTTAGGACAGGATGGGTCTCCAACATTATACAACAAACTTTGATTGCTTTCAGCAGAGGTCTGACTGGTTCTTTGAATCAGCCGTTGGCTTTATGTCCAGGTGTAATATATTCCGAACAGTAACCCAGTAAATCAGACTCAAAATCTTACACCAAATGTACTTCCCAGATTCATGCAAAAGGTAGAGGTTTGGTTAGAATTTTCTCAATGATTCTATATCCAGTTTGTGTGAGCAAAGACCCCCCAAATACTATTAAACTCCTTAGTGATGTGAACCAGATGGAAAATAAAACAAAAGAATTCACAACTCATGTTAGACTGAATTGAATGTCTTTAATTTCACACAATGAATAACATATGAATAGGATTAACTTTTTTTTTTTTAATAGTTAAGTGCTCTATACTGTGCTAACCTGATCTGGTAGCGAAAAAGACTGAGCTTTCTTTTAGAAAAAATGTTTAAAACCCAACATCTAAGACCATGGAGGAGCATGACAGTAAAGCATGCCAGATGTATCTACGCCTCAAATAACAGCAAGTCCGTGTTCATTTTAAATGTACAAAAATGCTTTATGAATAAAAACTGTTACAAAAAGAACATTTCAAACAATGTACAATTTTCTTGCCTCTATATTCAATAAAATACAAATACATTTTTTGTTCTAAAATATGTTTACATACAATCAAAGTAGAACATGCAAATTACACTTTAAAAAAGGCTTTTAAAAACCACTTATGAATACAAACTAAAAATTAGCCAGCACGACTTGTAAGACAATCTTGTGCCCCATTTTTTCTTTTGAAATATATATATACATATTTAACACATCATGTGCATTTATTATTATTTAAGAAATAGAATTTTTTAAAAAAGGAAGAAAAGAAAGACACCAACCTAGGTTGGAACTGCCCTTCTGTGTGGACCGGTGGCAGCTCTTCTCAATCCTTCCCCCCCTGTAGTGTTTATTATACCTGGGGAAGTGGGCAATCGAAATCCAGGAAGTTTCTTCCTTGGTTGATATGTGCTTCTAAGACTGTTCCCCAAATGACCGAGTCCCATGGGAGAGAAGACTCATCAGTGGGGCGAACTCTCCAAGAAACAAGAGGCAGAGGGAGCCTTTTATTGTGGAAAGAAACTTTAAAAAACACCAAGAAAATGCTACGGTATATTACAGTTTGAGTTTCTAGGCACTGTGATGACATTATCTGTAAGCTCTGGCATTTGGACCATTGTGATACTATAGGGTAGTGTTGAGAATAATGTCTATATTTATCTACTTTTACATGATGAGAAGCACTGAAAATCCTGCAATGTAACACTTAAATGGCTTTTGAGGCATTTCGGCTTCTGCCACCCCGTCTCTCTCCATGCTACAGTTGGCATTTAAAGGCTTTGGAAATATATGTATGGACTTTAGACAGTTCCCAGGTAAATCTTCCTAGTGGTAGGGAAAAAATATTCTCCAAAAAACTCATTATCTGGATATTATTGGGTAATAAGCTGTAGGAGTGGGATTTTCTACTAAAGTACTAAAAACCAAATCCTTCATGATCTGCATGTAGTACATCACCTTATACTATAATTCTGTCACCACCTGCTTATCATATTTATAGAGCCAGCAATGTGCAGAACACAAATTCCGACTGCCATCGAACATGGCCTCCCACTCCGGACAGCAGCCAAGTTAGCATGCTAATCCTCTGTCAGCCCTTAGTCACCTACTCTGGGCTGTCAGTGGCTGTTGAGTCCCGGTCCTGCCAAGTCACACACCAGCTCCTGACATGCTCTCCTTTCTTTTGACCTATCTTCCTTGGGTTGTAGCCAGAGCCATGCTATTAGACGAAGTTAGACTTCGGTATCTTTCATTTGAGATGAGGGATTGAAAAGCAAGTGGCTCCTTGGCCACTTAGGAAGGTGGATCAGAGACCCATCATCACCTTCAGGGAGGCTTTTTCATCTCGATTTCATCCTTTGCTCACCCTCGATCAGACTCCCTAGAAGTGGGTTCATACCTGCTTGCTGAAGGAAAGTATTCCGGGGAGTGGGGGGACACAACAAAACCCAAGAGATTGCTCATGAAATAACTTGTGGGGGTGTTTATGGAGTCCCCTGCATCCCGAATGACTTCACCTCTAAATGAAAATAGAGCCCTGGATGGCAGTATTGACTGGCTAGAGACTCCTCGATCTGGGTCAAGATTGCTGGGTTCTCATCCTGGGTCTGAGCCACTGAGAGGTGAAACTAGACTGGCCCAGTGTTGAGCCTGGGCAGGAGAGGAGAGGCTGGTGGAAAGGCATTAGTTAGAGAATAAAGAAATGGTTGTACCAAGGAGATGAGGAATGGAAGGTATAAGAAAAAATAAATAACGTGACACTGAAGTGGAGCTGGGCAAGTGAGAGAGGAAGCTGGCAGGTGCCAGGACTTGCTTCCACCTGAATAGCTGGGCTATTCAGCAGGTCTCACTCTGGGTCCTCTGCAGTTTTCTAGTCTATTCTTAGGGGTCATAAGTATAGAGGATTTGAATTTAACTCACATGACAACTGTAGAACTGAATTTACATAGAAGCGACAAGCCTGCTGTATCCCTCCTGGAATACTTTACATTGGTTTGGAAATTCTAATGTATCCTTAAGTTATTTGAAATTTTTCTCCAAATAGAGGTTAACGTCAATTAGGGTTTGGGTCCTACATTAAGAAGCTTAGAGAGTGCCAGCTCATTCTCTTCTGCAGGGAAATTTCAACCACTCACAGACTTGGTTGGGGAAATGGTACTCCACCACCAGAAGGAGGAAGGGCAAAAGAAAGAATGAAGGACGTGATTTTCAAAGTCCGACAGGAGAGAAATCCCTTTATGGGTTTAATTGGAATGAAAATGGTTGCTCTTTCATAGCAATGGTGGGGTGAGCGGGGCTAATTTAAATCTTCCTCTCCGGTGACTTCGGAACCACTCAGACATGGCTTGGGAATGACAAATTGAAAGTGGCTGGTTTGATTTTGCTGTTCAACTTGTGTGAAATGCCAAAGGTCCACCTAGGTCACAAAGAGAAGTATCTATGATATAAGCTTTAAAGTACAGGAGAATGCATTTCTTTAAACTTACATATTGCTAGGATTAAATGTGACTGACCTAGTGGGTGGCAAACGATGTTAAGTCCAAGGTGACAGTGCAGAATAGGATGACTCTGTGGGTAATTCCAACCAATTGTTGGTGCCATGACAGAGCAGTGATGTTTGCGAGCATATTAACTTGGGATTTTAAAATTTACTCCCATAGATACCCCATCCCTTATTCTCCTGTGTTCCCAACAAAAATCCATCTCTCTCTAAGGAAAGGGGTGTTGTGTTCTGAAGTGGTAATACAATTTCCAGCCAGTCCCAACTTCCTGTAAAGCAACTTAATTTGGAGGTAAACCAGATACTCTAATTCCCATTAGAAAATTGAATTCTGTCTCTCAGTGTCTCTCTTTTTATAATCTACCATGCCAGGTGTTTGATGTCTTGGGGAAGGGAAGGGGAGGAGGAAGGGAGGAAATTGAAAATACTTATTTGAAATTTCCACATCTGACTTTTAGAAAAACATCTACGGCAATGGAATAACTTCATATTCATTCTGAGTCTTCTTAACATGTTTTACTTGAGTTGTGGAAATGGGTGATAGAGATGGAATATCTGTCCACGCTAAACCGATGGCTAGAGTACAACTTGGATGAGAAATGTACAGTTGAAATTGACCATTTAAAAGACGATTTGTCACACACAGTTTGCATCCATGCAGACTGATAGTTTTATAATTACATTATGTACAAAAATGTTTTAGTTTATTAAGGCAACCACAATTTGGATACTTTGTCCAAGGTGGCTTGATACAATTGGAGTGGCGATACCCTTTGAGCATTTTCTTTCCTTTCCTTCTTTTCTTTTTTCTTTTCTTTTTTTTTTTTCAGATAAGAACACTTACTCCTGTTTGCTTTTAAGAAATAATCATCAAGGGATAATGGACTTGTTTTATTGTCTTTTTGTTTGCTTTTTTTTCAACGACCTATGATAGTTATTTGTATGAGAATTCACATACCAAGGCATTGCTAGACGTTTGTCTTTCTGGTGGGTCTGGGGTTTCTATTTTTGGTGATTTGTCAGTTATTCCATTTGCTGTGGATTATTAAAACCATTTTCGTCTGCCTATTCTCTGCTGATATGTTTTAAGTATAAAAATAACCTGGTTGACACCCCGGCCAACATATCCTCGGCTGCTCGAAATCACTTATTAAAAAGGCTTTATCAATACTGAGTATCTGTCTTACAATGATTGGGATTCAAAGCCAAGTTCCTTGGGACAGCATGCCAAGGGTGAACATTAACAACACGCAAAAAGCCTACATTATTCCGGTGTGTACCAAGGAAAAGAAGGCAGCAAGTAAGTTAATGAAAAGGTATATGGAAGTACAACGGGACAAGGAAAACTAGGAGGAACAGACTACGCTAAGTATCCGTGTGTGGCACAGAGGAGGCATACGGAAGGATATGGACGCATGTCCAAGGTTGCCTATCACTAGAATTCCACCTTCTGATGACGAATCCATCTGAGCAACTGTATGGTTAACGGAAAGATTCAGGTCACCTGAAGATGATGTTGGTGCCCCAAAGCCTAGAGCCGAGCTCGGAAAACCAAACTAAAAGGCAAAAAGCAATGACACGGAAATGGGTTACAACAAAGCCAGTCGAGAAATCTGCAGCTTTTCCTCCCCTTGGAATGTTTCCTAATTGAGGATGCTTCCCTTTCCATTTTCCTGGCCAGCGCGCTCGGGGCGCGGGCGGGCGGGCGGGCGGGGGCCGGGGCCGGGCCCGGGGCCGGGGCCGGGGGCGCCGCCCGCTGTCTCCTCCCCCGCGGAGGGTCCAGCCGCCGCGCGCGCGGTCGGGGCCGCGGTGCGGCGGTGGGGCGCGGACGCGCGGCTCCGGCCGGCGGCCCCCTGCTCGGCCCTCCCGAGAGCACCGGAGGGCTCGACCCCGGGCGTCCCGAGAGGAGGGCGTCGGCGTCCCTGCGGCGCGGGGGGCGGCCCCCGCCCCGGCTCACGGCACCGCCGGCGTGTGGGCCCTCCCCACCCTAGGGGAGGCCCTCGCTCTCGCTCCCTCGGGACTTCCTCTGCCGCTTGGCCTTCACCTCGTCCTCCGGGGGCAGGGGCGGCTGCGGGGGCGGCTGCTGCGGGGGCTGCGCCGGAGGCGGGGGTTTGTGTTTCCGCTTGCCGCCTCCTCGGGGGGCCTTGGGCAGCGGCGGCGGCGGCGGCGGCGGCGGCGGGGGCGGCGGGGGCAGGGGCGGCGGCGGCGGCGGCGGCAGGGGCGGCGCCTCCCGGGCCATGTGGATGACCGCCTCGATGGTGGCCATGATCGTGTCCTGGGCGGCCGCCGGCTCCAGCGCGAGCGGGCTCAGGCTCGGCTTCTGCCCGCGCTTGCTGGGCAGGTCGATACATTTTTCCAGCACCGGCATTTGGTCCCTGGAGTCCTCGTCGAACGGGGTGGGCTGCTTGCGGGGACGGCCCCTCCTCTTCTTGACGAAGTTGTTGCCTGTCTTTGATTGTCTCTGCAGCCGCTTGGCCTTCAGGATCTTGTTCACGTGGTCCAGGTTCTTCTTGGTGGACAGGATCTTGGTGTAGTTGCACATCTTGCGCACCTCGCACTGGATGGCCTCGATCTCGCGCCGCTTGAATCGCTTCTTCAGGGAGGAGCTGGCTGCGGGAGGGGAAGAGAGGACAGTGAGCACCAGAGGCACGCTGCCCTAAACCCGGCCTGGGCCTGTGCGCCCGCACCCCGCGCTGCCCTGGTGTGAGGGCTCTGCAGGAGCCCTGCTACGGAGGGGACCCGCCGTCTACTCCTTCCCTTTTCGCCACGAAAGTGGAGAATGGTAAAAGACAAACACCGGTGGAATGACTTACGGGTTCGCGGCCTTGCTGGGTATGCCACTTTAATCTTCACAACGGTTCTGTGAAATACTCTGGTTTCCGTTTTTTAGGACTTAGAAACCCAGGCCGGCATCACGTAGGAAGATCTACCCTGGAGGTCAATGTCCGAATCAATGTTTCCATTACCTTTCCCTATTATAACTTTTATTTCTTATTCAGCCCTTTGACATTTGATCTGATTCAATTTAGGATTAGGTTATGCTTTCGCTTTTTGTAGAAGAAGCCAAATGGAGAAGAAAAAAAAAAAAAAAAGACAAACAGTCCTTTTTAACAGCAGTCCGGATCATTCGTGTGTACTACCAACCTCAAAAAAGAGATGCCTCGACCTCATCAGGAATATGTGGGTGAGTGAACCTACTTATCTCTAACCCTCCTCCACTGACGGAAGGGAGGGTTATTCTCTGGGACACTCTGTGTGGGATTACACCACCTAATTGTTGCCCCCGATGTTCTGGACTTGTCAAGTTTCCTGGTGGTGTCCAGCTGACCAACTTTTACCAGTTTAACCCCTGGAAACCTCAAGGGAAATCAGCTAGCCCTTTCTGAATCATTTACACTCCTGCTACTGGGCTGTTTGTTGTTTGCAAAAGAGCCTTTTTCACGTCCCAGTGGCCAGAGGCACCTGCATCATCAGAGTCAAACTTACAGTCTCTGGAAGTCCCCAGTCCTGCCACCACTAAATGGCCTTCAGAACTGCTTCATTGGGAAGTCTGGACATTTGGAAGCTCAAGACGTAGCAGACCTCCCCTCCGTTAGGTCATTCTTTCTCCCTGTGCTGTTCTTGAGTAGGCACATATGTACATCCACGTATATACACACACGTGCGAACACACACACACATACACACACACGGGCCCTCACACACACTCTGCTGCCCCATCTTCACACTGGCCCCTCCCTTTTTATGAACTTAAGAAATGTGTCCTTACTTCATTTTTTCCTGCTGTGATACATCCTGGATGCTCCACCCCAAAGATGCCCATGGAGAAGACGCTGGCTCTACTACACATTATGAGGCCACAAGGAAATGTGTTTCACTTTAGCATCATGGTGTGTTTGTTATTCCATGTTTTTTCAACCAGCAGAGAAGTGGAATAAATCTCTCAAGGGAAATAAGGAACAAAATACTGAAAACATGGATCCCACTCTCGCTTATTCTTGGGCACTCCCACTTTATTCCTTTCCCTTGCTTTCCCCTCTTCCTCTCCCAGGCTATGCCTGACACAGACCTCCAGGAGGGGATTATTTGAAGTTATTTACGCCACTAGCTTTATGGACTGGGAAGCTCTGAGTTCCACAGGACAGGTCAGAGTGTTACTGCTTTTGGCCCAAGGTCATTTAAGTCTTACTGAGCGATGAATAACTACCGAACAATCTTTAAAATAAGTTATAAAGATCAAAATAGAACAAAGCCAGAGTGAGCTTCTGAGTACAAAAATAAAATGTTTGTAGTTAGTGTTGTGAAAGAAAAACGTTGCTCGATTGTAAGTTCTCAGATGCAGGGACCAATTTTTGTCCATTTTTTACGTCCCTCACAGAGCACAGCAGGGTGCCTTTCACATGGACAAGATTTAAAAATTGTTTTTGGACTGATGAATCACACTAATCATTGCTGCCTTCTAGTCACAGTCTTCTCTAAAAGAGATCTAAGTTTGGATTTTTAGAGTAACCACTGCAGGTATAGTGACAGTAAGAGCTAGCAGGCCTCTGTGTCCGAGCTAGGCAATCTACCTCGTCCACACACTTGATGAGTAAATGAGAATGAGTCAAAAGTGCTCCGCAAGACCTCTGGCATTATTCCAAATACAAATTCCACTTGCAGCTTACCTTCCCGTTCTCTTATATCATCTTTGGGGGAAGAAAACGCGATGTGATGTATAATATAGCATACAGGTAGAAAGTAAGACATTTTAGGCAATTAGCTGGCAATATTTGACTGAGTAAACCTTGAGCTGGAAACTATGAGCTGCAGGTCATTGGAGATAGCCAGTGCTTGTCTCTCTCAGGGTTTTCTTTTGAGCATGAGGTGCCAAAAAACAAACCAAAAAAGGAACCTCATAGATAATACCATATTCGGTAATTTGTTATATGCTGCACAATATTGTATTAAACTTTGGCACTGAAAAGTGATTATGAAATAAGTTACCTCTGAGTAGTGTAAACGTACCAAATGGTACGAAAAATATCATTACCAACTCCTTTGCACCCACCATTCGCTTACACCATAGATACATTAATATTTTATTTTTATTTTATTTTTTAAGATTTTATTTATTTATTCATGAGAGACCCAGAGAGAGAGGCAGAGTCGCAGGCAGAGGGAGAAGCAGGCTCCCCGTGGGGAGCCTGATGTGGGTCTTGATCCCAGGACCCCGAGATCACAACTCGAGCCGAAGGCAGATGCTCAACCACTGAGCCACCCAGGTGCCCCCTAAACATTATTTTTTTAAAGAAAGAAAATATTACAGAGTCAGCTAAGTTAGTGCTCCCCTCTCCATTCCCATCCCGTCCCATGGTCGTATTTAGACTTTTACTGCATGTGAATGAAGCCATATTAGGAAAAATTACCAGGCTGAAACCACCTAATGCTGGCGACGCTGTAAGGAAATGGGGACCCTTGAATGCACTGTTGGTGGGAGGGAGTGTAGACTCATCTAACCCTATTGGAGGGCAGCTGGGCAGTGAGCACGAGACAAAAGATGGGCTTTGCTCAATGCCCCAGAGACTGCTGGCCAGGCTGCCTCCTTTACTCATTTGTAACAGGAGGCCAAGGATGTATAAGGATGTTCCTTGAAGCTCAGAAGCCTGAAAACAATCTCAATGTTAAAGAGATAATCAATCGTGATATTCAAACAATGGAATATTATACCTATGTCAAGAGGAAGAAGCCACACATAGTGTATCAATGTGGTTAAATCTTAAAAAAAAAAAAAGGTGTTGAATAACAAAAGTAAAAAAAAAAAGTACTTGTAAATATACTAGTTATAAAACTTTAAAAGCATACAGATCCCTTGAATTTTGATTTCAATTTCAATGTCCAGGTGTGGAGGTTTAAGAAACTATAATACAGAAGCTCAATTGTGAGCCAGAGACTAGCTGGATGAGATTTCATGCTTTCTTCTATCCAAAGCTACACCGTGGCACTTCAGTAAGCCTCTAGAGGAGTGCTGGCCAGTAGAATTTCCTATGGTGGTGGAAATGTTCTCTGTCTGTGCTGCCCCATTTGGTAGCCCCCAGCCACATGTGGCTACGAAGCACCTGAAGTGGCTAGTGTGACTGAGAAAATGCATTCTTAATTTAACTCGCTCCATGTGGCTATGGCTACTGTACCGTAGGGCAGCTCAGCTTTAGTCCCGGCCAGCACGAAACAGAGAGGTACACCAGGTTTATTCAGTAAAACACAGACGTACGTGGGAGACTCTGGGCAAAACTCCTGTGCCTTTAACAAATAAGATGCAAGGAGAGAAAGGCAGGGGAGGGAGTGGAACTGTAAATTAAAAGAGATGTAAGAGCTAAAATGATCTTATTTAACTACTGTTTATTTTCTTAGGTGTGATAATTGCATTATGATACTTTTTTTTTAAGCACCAATCTTTTAGAAAGATTTGCTGAAATATTATAGATGGAGTCACATGGTATCATCTGGGATCAGCTTCAGAATAACCAGGAAGGGAGGAATTAAGTAGAAGTACTGATGAAATAAGAGTGAATTGATATTGTTGAGGCTGAGTGACAGATACACAGAGGTTTATTATGCTATCCTGCCTACATTGGTGTATATTTGGTAATCCCATAATACATGGTTAAAAACCCATAAACGGTAGGCGGCAATAAAATGTCTGTCTTAGAATCTTAGGACTGTCGGGTGTTCTGGTTTTCACTCTCTTGGGCTCTATCACACCTAAATAATTTTTGATAAGGATAAGAAATGTCCTCAGTGAAAGGCATGCATCATCCCCTAGAAAATTCCTGCTGGGAGCTGCCCTCCTGGCTTAATGGGATGGGAGAAGGAATGAGAGATCTGGGTTTTATGCTGTGATCAACTGAATAAACATATCAGGACCCAATCTCCATTGAGGCCATCAGGTGTTAATACTTAATTTCCCTCTTTCTTTTTTACATTAATAACTTTGGGGGAGGGGTTCATAGCTACTGAATATCTGAATTTTATTTTGTCCTTATATGTATAATCCATATATTTCAGCTCAGGTTTGTTACCCCTGCGTATGGAACACAGAAGAGTGCAGGGCAGCTGGAAACCAGTTGGAACGAGGATGAACCTCTTAGCCCCTCCGGATCTCTTCTTCTTCATCTGTTGTGTTCAATGGCTCTCAAAATTCCCTTCTAGATTTAAAGATTGCTGTCATTCTTTCCTTTTCTCATTATCAATCGCCTCCCCAAATGTGAGGTGGCTTTCTACAACGTTTATTCCCTCTAATGATTTTGAAACCCTAGTGGTGGAGGGGGGAGGACTTTGGACTTGGCAGAGTATGATATTCACAAATCTGTCTCCTTATTGCTTATGATTTCATTGTCCCTCTAAATGTTTTCAGATTTTTCTCTCTTCAAATTGTTTCATTATTAGACAGTAATTTCTGGGCTCTTGCAGCAAAGATTGATTCCATATTTGCTCTCTTCTTCTAATGGTCCCATATCTTGCCTGTTCTTTGTTAGTTTTAGAAAATAATTATGAGTGGCCAGGGCAAAATGAAAATTCATGTCTTCATAACTGCAGAGCAAATCATCTTCTAGACCTTTCTCTGTATTTAA